CAATCTGTCAAACTTCTCTAGTGGCCACCTATTATGCCTTTTGAGTCAACACCTTCGAAAAGGACACTTTATGCTAATTCATTCAATTCATTCGAAAAGCCACAAGAGCCATAATGGGAAGATCATCAATTGCCTACCATCAATTTCTGGGGCATAGAATAATCCATGCCTGCTAAATCAATATATCAGAAAACTTTAACTTCCACTCCATGTCTTCTATGAATGTGACTGTGAAGAGATTTAGGTTCATAATATCAGGCGGGCGGTGGATAACTCCTCTCTCTCTCTCTCTCTCTCTCTCTCTCTCTCTCTCTCTCTCTCTCTCTCTCTCTCATATAGGGAAGTTTGACCCGGTTTTGCTCATAACTTATTTAAGCAGAAACTAGCTTCTCAGGCTTCTTACAGATCAATAAGGGCATTCACATTCAGAACATCATCTTCTTACACTTGGGCTATAGTTCTTTATATTAGCTTCAAGGTGCTTCACTTGGTTGAGCTTTGAACTTTAGAGCTTCCACCCTCTTCTAACTGGGTATCCTCTGTTGTAAGTCCGAATTTTGCTCTTCTTACTAATAACAATAACATAGACATGAACTGCTAGCGTTGCTTGATTAAGGAAAAGTGCTGAGACAACAAAGTTAGGATAGTTGTGCAGTTTTTGTTCGTCAGCTTTTGCTATTTGGAAGAGTAATTCAGCATTCAACTCCTTATGAGAATCTCTATCTGTTTTTTTATGTCCTGAAAACAGTCGAATTCATCTCCCATGGCTTCCGTTGGTCCTTTGAGTGATGAGAAGAATGAAGCGAAAGAAATCAATGCTAAAAGACAGTCATCGGTGAACCAACACTCACCAAATGAGCATCACATTCACAAAGTGGGAGTCCCTCCCCGGCAGAAACTCTTCAAGGAATTCGCATCCACTGTCAAAGAAACGTTCTTTGCTGACGACCCTCTACGCCCTTTTAAGGACCAGCCCCAGTCTCGGAAGTTGGTTCTAGGAATTCAGGCCATCTTTCCTATTCTTGAGTGGGGAAGAAGTTACAATCTTAAAAAGTTCAAAGGAGATCTTATCGCCGGACTCACCATTGCAAGTCTCTGCATTCCACAGGTAGATAAAATTTTCGAGTCTTTTTATATAACCGAAAAGTTAAATAGAACATCATTAATGTTTCACTCGATGGAAAAACAGGACATTGGGTATGCAAAGCTTGCGAATTTGGCTCCGCAGTATGGACTTTGTAAGTGAACACTTACCTGTAGGCTATAGACTATAAGCTGCTTGACGCCCTCAATACTAATCCTTTCCTCCTACATTCTTGAGCTGCTGAAAGTGATATCTAGATATCTTGAATGATTTCAGATAGCAGTTTCGTTCCGCCATTAATATATACCTTCATGGGTAGTTCAAGAGATATAGCCATTGGACCAGTTGCCGTGGTGTCTCTTTTGTTGGGAACACTGCTGCAGAATGAGATTGATCCGACGAAAAATCCAGTTGAGTATCGCCGACTTGCCTTCACGGCAACTTTTTTCGCGGGGATAACTCAATTCACCCTTGGTTTCTTCAGGTACAGTTATAGCTAGCTTCTCGGTTCTCAGACAGAGCTCTATCTTTCTACTTTTTCTATTTTCTGCTCATGTAATGGCATCTATGTCATGATATTGGAAGTTTTATGTCATCATTGTCCAAGGGCTAAAGGTTTCTTTCTTTAGGTTGGGTTTCTTGATTGATTTCCTATCCCATGCTGCCATCGTTGGTTTTATGGGTGGAGCTGCCATTACTATTGCACTCCAGCAGCTTAAAGGTTTTCTTGGCATAAAAGATTTTACAAAAAAAACTGATATTATATCGGTTATGCACTCAGTTTGGGGATCAGTCCATCATGGAGTAATCTCTCTCTCTCTCTCTCTCTCTCTCTCTCTCTCTCTCTCTCTCTCTCTCTCTCTCTCTCTAATTCTTTCCTTTCCTAGACTAGATCACTAAAAGGTAAGCTGTTCTTTTTCAGTGGAACTGGCAGACCATAGTAATTGGAGCATCATTTTTGGGTTTTCTTCTGTTTGCCAAGTACATTGTAAGTATATATACCTTCAGTTTCATTCAAGTAATACATGAATGTGTTGTTCAACTCTTTTCTTACTTGGGGATGGGTGTGATAAACAGGGAAAGAAGAACAGGAAATTTTTCTGGGTTCCTGCAATTGCCCCATTGATATCGGTCATCTTGGCCACTTTCTTTGTGTACATAACCCACGCAGAAAAGCACGGCGTTCAAATTGTAAGACCTTTCCACTCCTTGACTCTTGGAGCTTAACTAGCTGATGATCTAATTGATGAAAAATTTAATGCTAATGCTGATGATTGAGAAGTTGGATTGTAGTAACAGAGTTATACTAACATTTTCAGTGAAATATGCAGGTGAAGAACATAGAGAAGGGAATCAATCCCTCATCCGTGAAAGAAATATATTTTAGCGGGGACTATCTTCTGAAAGGTTTCAGGATTGGTATCGTGGCTGGTATGATTGCATTAACGGTAAGGGAATCCTCCCACCTCCTCCTTCTCCTTTGCATGTTTATGTAATTTGTAAGCAGGTCACTGGGATTCTATAGTTTCTAGCTAATAATTTGATCTTTTCTATGGCTCTACAAAACAGGAAGCAATTGCAATTGGAAGAACTTTTGCAGCCATGAAGGACTATCAACTGGATGGGAACAAAGAGATGGTTGCACTAGGAACAATGAATGTTGTCGGGTCAATGACTTCTTGCTATGTTGCAACTGGTAAGAAATTATGTGTCCAACATAGATTTAACACCATCACCCATCACAATTTTCAGTAAGTTGGAAAGATTATCATTCTCCTTGTTTCTAAAAGTAAGCATAAAATTTATTGCAGGTTCCTTCTCCCGCTCAGCAGTGAACTACATGGCAGGGTGCCAAACTGCGGTCTCCAACATCATCATGTCCTTCGTCGTGTTCCTAACATTGGAATTCATCACCCCTCTCTTTAAGTACACGCCGAATGCGATTCTATCATCCATCATTATTTCAGCTGTCATTGGCCTAATTGACTACGACGCAGCAATTCTCATTTGGAAGATTGACAAGCTCGACTTTGTGGCTTGTCTCGGGGCATTCCTTGGAGTAATTTTCGCTTCTGTTGAGATAGGTCTCCTAATTGCGGTAAGAAACAGGAGTTCAGTTTCCTTTATCTGCTATCTTGTGGCCAATCTGTTCTTTGAACTCCACGTATTGTCCCTTCTTTGTATGGCCACAGGTTGCGATATCCTTTGCTAAAATCCTTTTACAAGTGACAAGACCAAGAACAGCAATCCTAGGAAAGATACCTCGAACAGCAGTATACAGAAACATCCAACAGTACCCAGATGCACTGAAGGTTCCTGGCATTTTGATTGTCAGGGTTGATTCTGCTATATACTTCTCCAACTCTAATTACATCAAAGAGAGGTAACCGCGCCATCTGGCTTTTCTTTATCTTCCTGTAACACATTTCTCTTTTTTCTTTCCTTTCATTTAGTTTCTACATGCGAAAAGGCAAGAAGGATCGGGCTTAAGAACACGAGACAATTGTCATCGTGCATTTTTTCTTCCGACCTATTTCATGCTTCGTTCTGTGAAAATAACCTTATCATTACTTTACTTGGACATGACCCACAAGAATTTTAATGTGAGGGAAGAAACTTGTTCATATGTACTGGAAGTAATAGAAGAAAAAATTCCTATCCTAGGCGTCCTAAGAACGAAATTTAAAAGATGCAGAAGTTAATGGATATAATATACAACTCATCATGCCAGGAGTTGAAGAACCTAAATTTTTAGATTTTGCAGAGATGGAGCTCTTGACTGGAATCGACTAATAGCAATTTGACAAATATCATACGAGGGAAACAGTATTTTTAAATTCTAGCGTGACTAGCATAAATTCTTGTTAAGCTTAAACAGTTTTTCTTCTCAGGATATTGAGGTGGTTGAGAGATGAGGAGGAACAACTAAAAGCAGCTTATCTACCGCAAATAAAGTTCTTGCTGGTCGAAATGTCCCGTAAGTGCTCTTCACTGCAATTTCTCAATATCCCTTACTCTACTTAAAGAATCGCATCGTGCCATGTCTATGTGCATCATTTTTTAATATGTTTTTTCCTAAACCCCAGCCGTAACCGACATCGACACCAGTGGCATCCATGCCTTGGAAGAGCTGTATAAGAGTCTTCAAAAGAGAGATATTCAGGTGAACATTTCGGACTTCCCGTACTCATTTCTACATAAAAAATTTCCTCAAAACAAAGTGTTCTGTGAGAGCGGTACGCATGAAGCCTTACCTGGAGCTTATCTTTCTGTTTCTGCAGCTTGTCCTGGCGAATCCTGGACCAGCGGTCATCGACAAGCTCCACTCGTCGGGCTTCGCAAACTTAATCGGCGAGGACAGGATATTCCTCACAGTTGCAGAGGCTGTTTCTTCTTGTTCTCCGAAACTGGTAGAAGAAGCTTGAGGAAAGAGTTTGGTCAAGCATGGGCACTGAAGAAGATGAGAGAAGAGTTCATTTGCTCAGCCTTCAGTTGAGTAGTGGGTTTTTGGGTCCTCATCATATTAGTGGTCAAGTGGATGTCTAGTAGACATCGTCTACCGAAGATGGGTGCATGAAAAGGGCACTTTGTGTTAAGATATTGTCATGGTGTTATCTTTAAGAAAGATATGCACCACTACCTCTCTGTACTATCGACCCAGAAAGATACTAGAGAAAAGAAAGGAAAGGGTAGAAAGATAAAAAACCTTTTTATTATCTACTGTTGTCTTTCACTCACTCGTTGGAACCTCAGCCGTTTATCCTGCAGTGTTCGTAATGTTTGTGATGCGTGACGGACCAAATTAATCATGTACATACTTAACTGTTGTGATCGTGGGTTGCGTATCAAGGTGCACAATACCCATTTCTCGGTTGGAGGACAAATGACCTTAGGTCTTCGAGATAGAGATCATATGTGGGAAAATAAAATTATCACATTTTTTATTGACAACATAATTACAGAAATTGGAAATAATGATATGGTTCAAGCCATGAAGGAAAGACAACCTGCAAAACGAGCCACCTCCTCTCCCTTGACATTGAAAAACCTATTTCAACCCTACATCCTAGATTTACACTTAGCAGACTGGTGGGCACTAGTCCTAGGATCTACATCTCATCCACAATGTGGAGAAGTTATTCATATAGCTGATAACAATCAAAGATTTCACTGAGTTCGCGCGCCAAAATGAGGCGAAAATTTGGTGATGTACAGCAATCATGTTCAACCGAGCACCTTGAGAAGTTCTTGAACCAAACTCGCTCGGCTCGATGACTCCATCTGCATTAAATTGAAAACAAGAATTAGATTGAGCTCTTAGATATGCACATTCACGCTTATTTAACAAAGACATACACATACATCTGCAGAAACCAAAGATCAAGCATGACTTGGGCTTTACCTTGTCTAGAAGGGCAGCGAGACCTTGAGGAAGAGCTTGTAAATCTGACTCTGAGCTACCAATATCTGTCAATTGCTGCAGTACTTTCTGGATCCGCAGTTCTTGTAACTTGTCTTCGTAATTTCTCGTATCATCTTTCCATGAGAAGAATAGTCCATCATCATTCCATGCATCTTCTCTACCTTTTGCCACCTCAGAATTCACAAACCAGCTCTTCATGAAGGCATACGCAGATGTCCTCGAGAGCTGATTGCCCCCTGCATCTTCCACGGTTTTGGTGAATGAGGCTTCGGCAATTCTTCGATGCAATCTTCTGTAGAAGAAGGAGCGAGAGGTTTTCCAGTCGACGACTTCTCTGATGACCCCCTTCGCGGCCATCCTCAATGAAGTATCGTGCAGTTCAGCAAATTTAGTGGCTATCTGTGTGTAGACGGGCAAGAGGCTCTTCTCTCGGGCTTTTATCTTCTGCTGCAGCGAATTGGCCACATCAAGAGCACCAGCCTTTATAGATTCCTCCAGCTTTGTCTTCAGTCCGACCAGATCTACATCCAATCTACCCATGCACTCTAGAAGGTCCTTGGTCTTAAACTTGATCTCTATCATCCCCTCTGGCTCGAGGACATTCCCTTTGGCTGTTCGCTCGGCATACATTTCAATATGGTCTGAATTAATCCGGCTGTCCACAACCACCCATGCCCCGCCACGGAGTTCACCCATCATGGGGATGTAGACAAATACAGGCTGCTTGTATGTTCTAAGGTTCTCGACTATTGTTGACCCGGCTTGCAGGATCCCTTCGAAAAGGTCTCTCTGCCCGCCCGAGAAACCTCTCCAGTTAGCCAGGATGAAAAGAGGAAGTTCTTCTTTGTTGAAATCTAAAATTGCTTGAGCTGTCTTGGTGGCGGAATCCGGGAACCATACTTGTCCAGCCTGCGGGACCACTCTCTCATGGGAATCAAGCTGACCTGGGTCCGCAGGAATGACTTGCATTACTGTTTGGGTCTCGACTGCTACAATTCCCACAGGGATGCCTCCCAGCTTAGCTCGTCCTGTTACCACTGTCCTTGCCCAGCCTTCAAGAGTCTCAATGAAGCTATCCTTGTCAAAAATACCACCAACCCAATTTCCATTACTATCCAAGACACCACGAATGGCAGCGCGAGGATCACATGAGTTTTCTGCAACGTACTCAACAGGCCTTTCGGGGGAATCCAAGGGTTTGCAGATTGGAAGTGGACCACCAACATGAGGAGGAACAAAACTTAACCACTTCAAGATGGATGAAACCCCTTCAAGGTCATCTGAAACGGTCAGATGAACCACTCCATTAGTTGCCATAATTTTCGGACCTCCAAGTTGCATGTGGGAACTGTAAACCTCGCGGCCAAGAAGTTTGTTAAGGGCAGAGAAACCTGTTAAAATTATTGGTTGATCAAGCCTCTGTATGCAACGCATCCCGAGCCTAGCAAGATAAGCACCTATACCAACAGTTCTGCCAGTCACATACGTAAGGGTAAAAATCTCCTTGTATGCCCTAGAATAAGCACCAGCAATGGCCCCACTTCCTGACAAGTTTTCTACTCCTAATCCATCCTCCTTCCCGACAATGGTATCTATGACCCATCTAGTTTCTCCTTTAGCCAGCTTTAGCTCATGTGCTATCACAGATGATCCCATCTCAGCATAGTCATCAGGTGTCAAATATACGTACTGGAAACCGCGCTCAGGATTCGATTCATCGGACCAACCGACTCTGAATCGAGCTTTCACTTCCTCCGCTACCCCTAGACGTGCACCGGAGTTTGCTGCCAAATAAATCAGAGGTAATTTCTTTGCACATGCAAGATCAGTGACTGCATGGAAAAATGCATCTTCTTTTTGGCCGAAAGATCCTGCTTTAAAGGTTACATCGTTTGAGACAACTAGAACTGTTCTCCCAGAAGGGAACTCGGGAGTAGTCATTTCCATGCACCAACCTATCATCCCGACATCATTACTCCCAGGCTCGCGCTCTACAGGGACAAGAGGGGTTCCCCAGCTGTCACTCTTATCAGCAAATTTCAGCTCGGTTACTTTGAGAAGCATCTTATTCTTGATGTTGTCGTCATCCGGAGAATGGGATGCCCAAGCCATCTCCAGAGCTGTCTGAAATGCCTGCAAAATAATTTTATTCAACCAAGTTAACTCAAGCTACTTCAAATTAAGCAAAGCTCTGTCATCAATCGGAATTATAGAAAAGTACAAGGAATACTCACAAGTGGAAAATCATAGCAGTAAGTAGTGTTGCTCGTCCTGGCTGAGAGACGTTTTCGCTCAAGAGCTCCCAAGGGCTTGTAGGGTGCATTTACTGGAACTCCATGTAGAGGGCCCCACACAGAGATTGAATGATAGACCACTTTGCGGGTGCTGGAATCCTCGAGTTCACGGTAAATCTGATGATGCAGAAAATACAAGTAGTGTCAAAGATCCCATCTCTAAGTTTAGGAGCCCAAGTAACAAGGCCAAGGTAAATATGATGACAACTTAGAAGTCTATCCTCAGGAAGATAGCCAAATGAACAGACAAACTGAAAATATTAAAGCACAGAAACTCCAAAGAGTGGTCTTTGCTAAATTTATCTGACCATATAATCACCATTACCTTGAGTTTACTTCGATTTAAATTAGAAAGAGATGGAAACACTACCACAGTAATTCTGGAGTACTATTCAAATTCAGGAAAAAATTTACGCAGTCAATATAATTTGTGCACATCAGGCTTCCTCTTTTACCTTTTGTAAAACAAAATAAGAAGTTAAACTTACATGCTCCCAAAAAAGAAGTTACACTTACATGAGTAGTGCATGTGTGTCCAGTTACATTGGTTACCACAAATCTCCAAGCACCGTTTGCCTGTCCAGAAGATGCAATCCACAGCTTCACTTCCCACTCACTAACACCTAGCCGATGCATTCTTACCCCGACAGATGCATGAATTTCCCGTGCCAGCCCTTCCAGGATCTGTGCAACGGCAGCTTCTTCTTGCTTGGCATCTACTTCCACTCTCCTGCCAGTGGCTCAGTCTAAGACTCACACAGGCATTCAAAGGAACATAAAAGAGCAGAGTAAAATCAGAGACAATTACTTGGCATAAGGCACGAGGTCATTCACTTGTTGCTCTTGTATAACATAAAGGTACATATGAGCATGATCATATTTGCCAGTAGCATTATGGGCATTTAGTTCCAGCTCTTCCATGGCAACCACTAAGGACCTGAAGATGCTCCTTGAAGTGTAGGACACAGCTAGTTGAGAACCTGATGATCCCAAATCGAGGCCCTGGTATGACGCGAAACCACCAGTTGTTGTGGGTTGCCTGACCAGAGTTCTGAGGAACATTCTCTGGATTGGAAGGGGCTTGTCTTTAACAGTGTATAGATGCCACTGACGGTCCCTGGAGGGCTTATACCTGATATTCTCATAGCCTTTAAGCTTGTCCTGTATTTTATTATGGACCATAGGATCAGTTGCATCAATTTATAGTTTCAAAGAAATAAAATAGGATTGAGGATGAGAAGATATACCAATTCAAGGTATATGGAGAGAGGAGGCTCTAGATGGCGTAATAGAGGCTCTTCCTCATAGTAGCACTTCTCAGCTGACCAATGGAAGGAGTGCCTCATAGGAGCTCTCCCTTCATCCCTCTGTATGATACAGCTGATTACTCCTACGCCAGAAGTTCGTAGACTGGAACTTAATTCTTGCTCTTTAAGTATCTTGGCTAATTTGTTGATCCTTTCTTGAGCCTGATCTTCATCGCCACTGGAGTAATACATGACACAAATAACAATTGAGATTTGCTTGGTAGTAACTGGACTTCAGGTTCTATTTGCCACAGAATTGAGCAAGCAATCCTAACGCAAGGGTTATTGATTACATCATACTATGCAATTTCCAACAATAAGAAATATTGGGTTGAGTAAACCACAAACAGATCTCCTTTATTCTGCTTTCCTGAGACACATTTCTCACTAATCTGCACTGGCAGCTGATCTTCAAGTATCAAGAAACATGAGTGGCTGCTAATTGATAAAATCTTGCAGTAAGATTTTTTTAATGTCTGGTGCATTCCAGTAACAAAATCCAGTTCTAATTAGAGGCGCAAAATGCACAGTACCTGTCCTGAAGTAGACTCATCTGATTGTTAATTCCAGCTAAAGCTATGTGCATCATATTACCAAAACACTTCGGTTCTGACAAGCCATTTGGAACTGCTTCATCAACATTGTGAGTAGTTTCCCTCAGGGCTGCATTGACGATTGCCGGCAAAAACTGAAGAGACTTAATGATGACCATGGCTCCCCATCTCCTTTCACTATGTTTCTCAACCAATGGCTTGTCAAACGTTTTATCTTCAGAATTGTTCTTTCTTTCTATGTGCTCTTCCAAGAATTCCCATGAAGCAATGAGACCAGATCTGTGCCACTGCATTCTTACACTCCCCTTTACAAGATAGGGCTGGCAGAGATACATAAGATTGGATGAGCAAAGCACATCAAAATAACTAAATAAACAGAAAAAGGTAGGTCTAGATCATCTACCTGATATAGCCTACGAACATAAGTCTCCACAACCCGCCTTTGAAGAGTGTGATCGCTATGGTCAAACAGGCCAACGAGGGCATCTTCAACTGCCAGAGGAGTACTCACCAAATCCTCCATGCGTTCATTGATGGCACTTTTCCTCTTTGGGGTGTCCATGCTTTCACCATCTTCAGTAAACATCTCTAGTTCGGAGAGACTTCTAGCAATACTGGAACGGAGTTCGCTCAGTTTAGTTTGTTCCAGCAGTTGACTCGCCTTAAGTGCTAACTGAAACAATGAATTGTGCATGATAAATTGACACATTCTTAGAGGAGAAAGAACCTGGAAGTAATCCAAGAATCGACAAACAATCGAACTAACGCACTTAAGCTAGAACAACTGAAGTGCCATGCCTAACCTCAGAGTAATTAGTATGGTTTAAAACCGAAAAGCGAATGAGTTTATCTCTGTATGCAGCAGGATTAGGGTAAACCAGCTGCTCCATGAGACGCAATATGAGCTTATTTTTACTTTTTATACCCTGCATTGCGGTAAGCACACATCAGCACCTGATCAAGCCAAAGATAATAAAAAAGGAATACAATGCACAGAAAGCAATCAAAGATAGACAATGATGACCTGATGAGAAAGGACTATGTCCACAACTTTCAATAGATCCTTCTTATATTGAAGCCGAAGCCGTTCAATCACATCAGCCTGCAAAAAAATTTGTCTCGGGTTTTGACTGGAATTGATTATGATAAAAAAAGGTACGAAGCAGGTTGAAATGCTTTCAATCAGTTATCAGATGATCAGATCCAATACAAAAACTCTATAGAGATCAAAATGGTCTGACCATGGCATATCTCAACATACAAATCCAGCAAGTAAGTTAAAGCAATTTACCCTTGAACCTATGATCTCAAAGCAATGTCAAGCTAGGATATGAAACCCAAAATCTTTGTTGTTGATTAAGAGAACTGACCTGAATGTTGTCACTGAATAGTTCTTCAACTGAGAGATACTCTTCAAAAAGAGATTGAACAATTACCCGGGCATGACTTTCCCTTCCTCCCTCATAAGACTTCACAAGGCTCATTAATGGCTCAATCAGTCTTTCCTGGGACGCCTTCTCTTTTTCAGGACAGGTGGATATATGGGCCTGATTTAAAAAGAAAAAAGAAACAAGAACTTATATGACAATGGTAATGCACTACAAGATTGAAACTGTTAGAAAGTCCAACCCAAAAGCTTAAGCTATTAGGTGGAGAGAGACCACATGAATATAAAGAGCATTTAGAACCCGTTGTCAATCGATGTGGGATAATTCTTCAACACCCCCACTCACGTGCAAGTCGGATTACGAGGAGCACGTGAAATTTTGACATCGCACATTCACATGGAATTTTTACCACGCACATTCGCGAAAGGGATAGCATTGGCTCTGATACCATGTTAGAAAGTCCAACCCAAAAGCTTAAGCTATTAGGTGGAGAGAGAACACATGAATATAAAGAGCATTTAGAACCCGTTGTCAATCGATGTGGGATAATTCTTCAACAGAAACAAAGTAGGTATGGTGAGGAACTTACCTCGAGAATGCCTTTGAGCAACTTTGCCGGGAAGTCCACAATCTGAGAGCTTGAAATTCTTTCAAACTCCTTAAATTTGGATTCCAACTAACAAGGCAAAAGAAAGTAAATAAATTGAGTTCAAGATTCAACTAGTAAGAATGAAGTCATACTCCACCAAAAATCTTATACCTCATTTCTGAGATCTTTCGGAAGGCGAGTTGCCAGAACGGACAAGCACTCTTGCCATTGAAGGAAAGGGAGCTCCGGGCTATCGAGACAAGCAAGCAAATTTTGCACTACCTGAGATAGATAATAGGCTTTTAGTTGGAGAAAGACACTTCATTCATCATGGAAATGATTCTCGCAATCTTAGCTAACAAAGCCAGACTCTCTGCAGATGGGATAGGGAAAGATGGATCATCAATGGAGAAACTAATCCACAACCTCGAGTAAGAGGAGTGACTGCTTACTTCATCAATGTTGTGCTCATAACCTGCGAGAATCATGCGGGCAGCATTTAAACTTGCAGCACATCTCTGATGAACCTTTCCAGAAACTGCAGTGGGAGGGCCCAGGACAGGGAAACTGCCATGAAAAGGTTCTGCCTTCCTTACGGCAGAAGGATCGTCTAAATCCAACCTTGCTATAAGCTCACCAGCCTACAGTAAAGTAACATATTAAGTTCAATAGTAAACAGGACACTACCCACTAGTTTCCAGCATTCTGATGTACCTGCATAGCTTGACCTTCAGACATTTCAAATTGTATGACTCCGGAAGCAGGTGAAAGAAGGGGCATGCACATCTTCATAACCTCAACTTCAGCATATGGTGTGTCCGCATCTATATGACTGCCATCAGAAATCAAAAACCTAAGCAGCTTGCATGGAGTCTCTGCCACTAACTTCGAAGGATCATGATCGTTCTAAAATACCAGATGCAAAAATCAGTCAATGAGCTCGAAAGAATATCTAGTTTGGCAAAAAGATCACAAAAAGGACAAAAGAAAGAGTCTCCTTAACCTGAAGCAAGCAGGTTCTTCCATCAATCAGGAGACGAGTTCCAGCTGCCTCTTCTTCAGCATATATGACATGACTGTTCCCATCCAGCTGTACATAATTGAACAATCAACTTCTTACTAGAACGATGAAAAAAAATACAATCTTTCGAAATAGACGATTACTCAGGTGCAATGCATGAAGATAGTCAAAATGAAAATTGGCCATACACCAGAAACAAGATAACTCCTGCTATTACAGTTGGTGGCCTTATCGGTAGTTTGTTTATAGCGTAAAAGGGAAAAGGAAAACCAAATAACAGTAAAAGGGCACGAATAAAGCAAATGAGTGAATTTGTCTAGGGCAACTAAATGTGCTAATTATGCAGTAGCTTTACCTCTGAGTACCATCATACTAACATTTGCAACCTAAAAAATGGCATGTGCTTTGACCCAAAAAAAAAAAAAAATTGCATGTGCTGGCTTTTGTCCAACAAGTAACAAGAACTGTCACTAGAAACATAATAAGACTTCATCATTCACTTGGAATTAGAAGCAGAGCCAAACGCTCTCCTTCCACAAGAGGTACTCTTCTGCTTGTAGCTGTCTCTTTTTCATCACAGCTTAGATTAAAATTTCCCAGGCTCTTCATGGACAATAATACTAGGAGCAGGCGTAATTACAAAATCTGGGGGTAAAAGGACCTCTGAAGTACAAATGTTGATTTAAAAAATAGTTTAGAGATTGATCTAGTTTTCAGAATACTGAGTAGTGGAGTTTTCTAAGAACAAAAGTCTTTTTTCTGCCAAGGAATGATTAAGAACCCTGACCACACATGATACGAACAGAAAGTGCAATAGTAGCACACCAGTCCCCCACACAGATAGAAATGATTAAGTCAATTACAAGCCACAAGGCTTCCTCATCTGATCTAGGATGTCTTAAAGCATCTCTAATGTGATAACTAATATGAAGATCTTAGAATGGCACATAGATTCTTCATTTCCATCAGCTGAAACATCTCTACCCCAACTATCCAAGACACCAACAGATACCACTATAAGCTGGCTATACCGCGAAACAACATGGACATGTCATGTAAATTCATGCTTGCCTGCATCAATAGACCTCCATCACGTAAAGTATGTATTTCTGCCTCGATCTCAGACTCATTCATCTTGAACCTATAGCTTCCAGGTCCGCCTCTGACCATGTCAATCTGTGAGAGTTCAGACAATTGATTATACTTGGCTCCAAGACAGCATAAGCAGAAAGTGACCTAGCTTGATGATTATCAGTTGCATACCGTATATTTGCTTCCTTCAATGTTCAATGACACTTGAGAGTTGACAAGTGATATGTGCTGGAAAAAAAAAAATCAATTGACTTAATCATTACTGGCAACTCAGATGGAATCTTAATCATCATTGTGGTCATCTTTAAGTACCTTGGGAGGAATTTGCCCTTTCTCAAGATAACCAACATAATCTGACACGACAGCTGTACTGGTTGTAGATGCTTTCTGAAGTGAAAAAGATGTAAATGATGCATTCAAAAGATTCTCGGAAACTGAAGAGATGTTTAATATTTTCACTTACATACAGCGCTCCTCCAACCACAGAGAGATACCAGGGAGGTCTTTCAGCCCTAACCCGCATAGCAATTCTACTATCCAACCAACCTGTGTGGATTTTATTATCTCTGTAATCTAAAGCCTGCAAAACATCATAGCCTTTAAACTAAAACCGCACGCATAAAAATAGAGTTCGAAAAAGAAAGCCTGGACAAGACATACATGAAGAAGATCAATTGTATAGTCAACATTAGTACGGATTTCACCCCTAATTTGAATTTCTTTCAGCCCAAGAACCATATTAGCAATTGCTAGAGCTCTGGATTCCCCAAATGCAAAGACGTGTCCTGAAGCAAGAGTAAAACATTCAGAAGTTGACATTTTTCAGAATAAAAAAATGTCAAGATATGCAGACACATCTTTCAAACAACTGAAATACACACTGAAGCATTCACTTAACGAGGAAAAATAGGTTGATCCCTTGATGAAATCCCTTTATCAGTGAAAACTATAATGAAATTACATACTCTCCTGTTTGTATTGTTCCATATAGCACAAAACGTATCAAGGGAAGTAGTATAAAAAAATTACATTCAGAAGTTGACATTTTTCAGAATAAAAAAATGTCAAGATATGCAGACACATCTTTCAAACAACTGAAATACACACTGAAGCATTCACTTAACGAGGAAAAATAGGTTGATCCCTTGATGAAATCCCTTTATCAGTGAAAACTATAATGAAATTACATACTCTCCTGTTTGTATTGTTCCATATAGCACAAAACGTATCAAGGGAAGTAGTATATGAGAACTTACACCATCAAGGTATAGGACCACATGGGATGCATTGGTTGTTTAGCAAAGTAATTTGTATGTCATTAGCCAGGACTACTACAGCCAAGAAGTCCTGGTGGGAAAATGCAATAGGGATTGAGACAACATATGTCAGATGTTATACGTATTTATCTCGCTAATATAGGTCCAACTTAGTCTCTCAGATCCATAGGCATCGCAATCCAATGCATGTTAGCTTGATGTGGTAGCTAATTCCCTTTGTCTTTCCTGCATACTTCTCACGATCTATCAAGCACAGTAACTTCGCAGGCTAACAAACCACACATCAACTTTTAAGTTGTCAGGCATGATTCACTATCATAGCATAGACCAGCAGCAGCCAAAACAAAGTGATGCTGTGAGATGAAAGCCCATACTCCCCCGTTAACTGTAATGTACCACTTAATATGCACTCTCTACATTCACATGTACCCCATTAAAACAGTTTCGGTCCAGTTGTAAAACAGATCAATAGCGGTTAGCAACTCAGCAATTACAAAGAAGCATAGTAGCTTGGCAGAACAACAAAATCAAAGCACAGACATCATAACCTCCAACCAAACAAAGTACTTAAAACAACAAATACAAATTTTTTTAGCTAAATCATATGGGATTATATTGTCATTAGGACTTACCGAATTGGGAATCTGAAAATTCGTGAATGCCTCCTCCAGACTGCAACAATAAATTTACAATTATAAACAGATGAGCATTTCAAAGCAATCTTTACTTGATAAACTTGCACAAATAATTTACCTTGACAGAGAAGTAAGCCCACACATTTGGCTTGCTTTTGAAACTTAGTTCCTGTACATAGCCAACTAGTAAGTACTGTCATGTTGACTGGAATCATCTTAAGCATTTAGAATTTCTTGGAACCGGTTGCTAACCTGTACTTTCCCGCTGGTAGGCTTGAACCCGTCATCAGGATCCTCACTAGTGACACGGACTGCTACACAATGACCTTTCGGTCTCGTAGACTCTGCTTTGTCAAAATCAAAGGGAGTAGCAACAACTGAAGTTCTTCTCCAAGCATCATAACCTCCTCCATGCCCCATTCCATAAAACCGCCTTATTTCTAACCAAACGAAGCAAAAAGAAGACGACGGATAAGATTGACAATTAATACAAGAAACAAACTTGGACATATATAACGTCAGGTAACATCATATACCAGGAATCTGCCACAGAGGAATCCCCATCCCAACAGCAACTTGGGCAGCTGGCAGATTTATTTCAGCAATCCATTCGGTGACAGGATGCTCAACCTATAGCAGAAGTAATCCATCCAACAGTTCAGTGAAAGAGAAATACACATCACACTTATTACATTATATCAACCCCAGAGAAAATTGATTAGAGAAGATAAGAATGGGTGATCACATTTCAACCTGCCCAAGACCAAAAGTGTGTTCCTTTGTTTTGTTTTGGCCAACCCCTTTTGTGTGAGACTTTAATAAGCCAAAGATTTACGTAAGCATATCTTTCACTCGTTTCACCAAACCTACTGAAGAATGCTTCCTTCATGTATATCAAGATATTTTCCAAAACTGAAAAGCTACTCAATGCACCAGAATAGCACCAGAGTATAAATATAAATTTTAACTAGAAATTCCAGCTGTGTAGAGCTATATGTAATTCTACAGAGCTTGGATACCCAGTTAGAATGAAGTAGGACAAGCTAGATATTAGAGCACTTATTGAGTACCTGTAACCTAGGATTGAGCTCCAAAAAGTAGTATTCCCCAGTCTCCATACTATACAGGTACTCCACTGTTGCTGCACCAACATAATTAACACTTTTAGCTAACCTTCTAGCTGCCTGCTCCAGCTTTTTGACCGTTTCTACAGGAGCAACAGTGATTGGGCCCTCCTCAATAATCTATTCCGAACAAAGCACCATGTCAAGGATGAGATTGGGAACTTCCAAAAATTTTAGTCTCCAGAATCACATGAAGTGAGGTGGGAATATTGTACTGCTGTGTTGGCATGCATGTTCAAGAGCCTCTCTTCATATGCATGACACATACAGGTACACAGTCGACATAGTGGATATATCATCTACCAAGTAATTTACCTTTTGGTGCCGTCTTTGAACACTGCAATCACGGCTATGAAGAGCTGCAACATTCCCATGCTGATCACAGAGCAACTGGACCTCTAAATGTCGGCTCTGCTCATAAAAACAATGTTTAAGTCAGGACCTCAGGATATTGGAGGAATAGGGGGACTTTACTATTAAGAGGAAATTCAGCTAGGTTCAGAAACTCTAGGCTTCTGACCTGTGAAGCAACTTTCATTATGAATATGGGCGAGCCTGGAACTTCACCCTGGACTTGTTTGAACAATGCCCTCACTTCATCATCATTATGAACCTAGAGGCGAATTACAGAACATTAATTTTAATATGCTTGCTACCTTAAGTTCTCGTGGTTGATAAAAAAACATACTATAGTCAGCTCCAAGGGTACATGGGAAAATGGCATGTCGAGCGTACCTTTCTAATTCCTTTACCACCACCCCCCCACGATGCCTTAATCATTGCAGGGTAACCCACAACTTGACAACTAGCAATTGCCTCATCGGTCGTGTATACACAAGCTTCCCTATATATTTCATCCGGGATTGATACCAGGCAGCCATCGGGAGACATTTTCACCTGAAACATGTGAACTCAGAATTTAGGAACCAAGACAATGGGAGAATGAACAAATTGTAAAGAAATTTGAAAGAATTTACTTACATTAGAACCACTCCATGGAAGAGTAGGTACATCAGCTGCTTGAGCAATCAGAGAAGAACCAATTTTATCTCCTAATGCTGCCATAGATATGGCTGGAGGTCCAAGGAAAACAATTCCCTTTGCATTTAATGCATCTGGCAGCTCAGGATTCTCTGATGCATGGCCCCAACCAGGCCAAACAGCATCCACATGGGTTATCTCTGCCATCTGCAAAGTTCATGCAGATGCATATGATCAGACGTCCACAGGAATTTCTGGCGTCACTTCAAGAACTGTTGTTTTAGAAATTGAACGATTTTGGATTATCACTTAATCTTGTTAGGTGGAGGTGCTTTCCTTCTAGTATCGAGGCACTATATTTTGAAGACTTACATGATAACTGAGCTCCGGGAGGGCGAGAAGTAAGAAAAGAAATGTCTTAGATAAAAATTTCCAGATGAATTGGAGAATGTAATACTTACTAGTACCCAGGGCAATGAGTTTCAACACACCAAGCCCTTAACCATATAGTTTTATAGCTCTCGATGGTCTTAAGCTTTCCCAATTATCTCAAGGAACATATTCTTCTCATGGCTAGACCACAATAGAAATAGAGAGCGATTGCACTCAAACAAAAATGCAATGTTTGGCAAAGCGTACCCATGCAATTAACCTAGTATATCTTACCATACAATTCCAAATCGATTAAGAGGAAGGGGATCAATCAAACATTACTAGGGCGTCTCTGTACACACCTCCACAATGAGCTGAACATTGGCATAGTTATTGTTGTTAGTCCCACCGGCAACTTCCACAAACTGGTCAGCAATTCTGATATGTTCTGCATTAATTCTCATGTCCTCTGGGGTCGCCATAGCCACCAACAGGATGGCCTTCTCAGTTCCAAATGTTTCATAAGCCCATGTTCGGACACTACGGATGAACTTGACCGCCGCCATTCCATTGTTAGCAATTAAAATACTATGAATTGGTCTCTCGCCTCCCAGGGCTTTGCAGAACTCATCCACTGCAGAGATTGCAGCAGGGCTCCTAACAGAAAGTACACCATTTGTGAACCCATTTACACGTCCAAGACCAGTCAGCGATGGTTTCCTTTGTGCTTCTGACATCTGCATGGCCAGAAAACCAAAAGGAGTGCATAATGATTTAAGCAAATGAAGTTGGTTCATCCACCTTGATCATATTAAGATAGGATAACCCAAAGCAACAAAAGAATACATGGAACTTTACATAAAACAATCGACTTTCAAAATTGAACTGTACTGCCATGCAAAATTCATACTCGCTTGACGATAATTTAACCTACACTCAGTGCAAAAGTATGCCATCCCGTTAAACCAAAACAAAGTTCTCTGTTTATTATCAGATTCACTAAATCACTAGAGAGAGTCATTTGGCTGCATATCTATCAACAGGCATTAGAGACTCCTCGAAAGAATTAAGAACTCTTTATCACTGAGTTTTAACATCCACATAACAATCAAGAAACACAGAGCTAAATTCAGGATTGCACAGGTCCTCAACCACTCAAAGAAATCAATTTTCAACTCAAAGCCACCAGACCAAAAGTAAACAGCACATTCCTCATACACGGGACTGCACCGACCTCAATTACTAATAAAAGGCCTCCACATAGGGAGGGATGCCCATAAACAGCATAATGGGTGGCCAAACAGCAGAATGATTAACAAACTCCCGAGCCGTCACAAAATCCATACTTTGCTAAAAAATTCAATAATGAGATTCCACTGTAAAGCAGTAACATTCTCCACAATTCAGAGCTACTCCGGATTTACTCCAGCAACCAACCCAGTTAAGTCAGCTGGGGGGAGTAAAACCAACTCCCACTTAGACAATCAGAGAAATAAAAAGTAATCACACAACAAACAACCCCAAAACACAAAAATAAAGAAAACGAGAAAACGAAGTCAGAGCTCTTCTCACGGACCTTGAATGGAGGAACAGAAGCTGAGATCACGCCGCTTCAACAGGCTGTGCCCACGTCGAGCATCACTTCGACTGGATCAACGAGCCGAGAGAATCAAGAATCGACTGAACCCAGGATCAATTCACGATCAAGAACCCAATGGGTCGGCCTATACTCGTTCGTTTAGCTCCCTTCTCAATAAAAGAGAACCGGGAAGAGAGAGAAGAGAAGCCGCAGAGGGAGGAAGGTGGTAGGTCTGAGTTAGAGCGAATTGGGAGGTACTGCAATTCCCGGAAGGGATTTAAACGAGAGCGAGCACGCGGTACCTGCCACTTCATCCCTCTTCCTCCTACTGGTAAAACTTATTTCTTTTTTGTTATTTTCTTGATGATGGTAGTAGTTAGCAGCTACCCAGAAAACCTCACCTCTCACCTCCTCCCTCTACATCTTCTCTCTCTCTCTCCAGAATCCCGATACTCGCCATTGATGGGCATTGAAATCGATGGGTGAGTGAGTCACCCTCAAAAAAATCATTTTCCCCTCGCTTTCTCCTCTTAAATCACACAACCGCAAACAACCCCTCCTCCCTCTCCCAAACCCCAAATGGGGACCCGCATACTTCTCCTGCATGAAACCCAACCCGCTCACCTTAAAAAACGAAAACGTTAAAGAAAGAACAAGGGCACCCACGTCTTTGTTTTCTCGGAGGGTGTCGTTTTGTGTTGGCGTGTGTTGAGTCTTGGACTGTGAGTTGGGTAGCGAGTGGTCGACCAACCGCTCCCCCCCGCCTCCTCTCCCCCTCGCCCCCTCCCTTGCGTGACCGAGCTTCGCAAGAATTTTCAACCCATTATTTTATTCTGCAAGAAAAGGTCTTCCTTGTAATCAAGATTCGTTTTTTTTATTCGTCTTTTTCTCGATTTCGCTTTCTCCAATGGTTAGAAGGGAAGAGGGACGGGGTCAATGTGATGTGCAGGATGGAGGGATCCATGAACGAGGGGGACAGAGAGATAAAGGCGTGTAGGTGAGAAGGGCAATCGCTGATTGAATGTGCAAATGGGGTTGGGAAGATGGTTGGAGGTAGGTAGGTCTAATCCACGCCATGCTTGCTCCCCCATGATCCCATCTCACGGTCATCGCCCCTCTGCCCCTCCCCCTTTCATTTAATGTTTTTTTTTCCATGGCTGCAATTTGAAGTTCGGTTCAGCCCACATCACATGTCACATCCCTCAATTCGTAGGTGATGCTTACTACCCATCTGAATACGTTGCGTTAATTTGATGTCCTCGAGTCGCTTAGGATAAGTTCTTGCATGTTTTGGGTCACCTCGATATTAGACTTGGTTTATGAATTCGGCGGCTCCGGCTATGGCGGCAGATTAGATGATTCTCGTCCCGTCACGCCTGGCAATCTCGTTTTTTTTCATCTCCACCCCTATGTAGGGATGCGGCGCCCCCACATTTGCCCCGAGAAGAGAGAACAGAATTGACCTTGTATATATTGAAGGGCATGGTTTATAGATATTGATAATAACAATAAGTTTGAATTCTCGACATGTTTTAACATGCAGGGGAAATTGTTTAATTGGTCCTAAATCTATTGTACGGATGTTACTTCAATCCTAAACTTTTAAGTTTTGTAAATTTAGTCCTGAATATTTACGCATAGTTCCAATGAAGTTCTTTCGATTAATTTTTGCCAGAAATTACTAACGTAGTAGTGTACCACGTAGGACGGTTGACAATAATTGGACCACCACGTCACCGGAAGGACTGCATTGCAATTTCGCACAAAGGTTTAGGACTAAATTGACAAAACTTAAAAAGTTTAGGATTAAAGTGACATCCATACAATATGTTTAAGACTAATCGAGTAATTTTTCTTAATATACATAAAATACCATAAACTTTCATCAAACCTAAAATTTTGATATGCACTTTCCACGTAATTGCAAATTAGTAAGGTTGGATAGTTTCCAATATGTTTGATAATGAATAAAATGGTGTACACTTGTGTGACGCTAAAAAAGTGATTATTCAAAAGTTCTCTTTTTACATTTCCAAAAGCACGTCCAACATAACTTAACAGGTGGTCCGAAGCCATTCATCAAAGCAATCCAAGCATAAAGAACCATTTTTTTTTGCATTCTAACATATTCGAAATTATTTCTGTGCCATCTCTCATGTTTTACATGTTCAAAACATATCTCTCCTCATTCGACTTTACAAGCATTCCAAATGCATTCTTTTAACAAACACCATATGCTTTATGTGCTCGTTATAATAACACCTAACTTCCACACATTCAACCTTCTTCATGTGATTTCTGTCCCTGAAATTCTCATTAACCATCTAATATATAATTCATACACGCAAAAGAACATAGTCACCCGAAAGTACTTCATTTTCAGAGGAGCTCTTTCGATTGCATGGTTGTAAAAATTCATTTTCCCTCTTATTATCATGAGCTACAGCCGCTCTAGGGGGTTGGACTTTGACAATTATGCATGTATCGCGGGCTCGATATGTCTAAAATGGTTGTCTTTTTTTATCTCTCTTTTTTCGAGTTTTAATCCCACCAACCTAATAAAAAGGAAAAAAAAGAACAAAGATAAGCTGTATAGTGTCGCTACAAAAGCCAAAAAGAATAGTAGGTTGGATGTTGCATATACTATCCATTTCTAGATGCACCCACTACAAGATAAACACACCGCAAATACAAGTGGTCGGCCCAAGATTTTTTCTCTGAACAAAGGGTGTTGCCCTAAATGGGATAATTGTCTAAAAAGCCCTAAACTTATTATATGGCGGTCAATTCAGTCTTACACCTTTCAATCATGCTAATTTAGTCATAAACCTTTTAATGATTTGCCAATATTGTCATTTTGGTTAATTTTGCTGGAAATTGCTGACGTGGATGCTAGTGGCACGGCCGGTACTGACGTGGATCATTTTTGTAAATTCCTTTTTGAATTTTCTTAATAATTTATTATATTATATTCTACTCCGCCTGTGCAGCTCCCCCGTTCGTCGAATTCCACGTATCATTCCTAAGCCAGCTTGCACATAAGAGAGGTTGTTAAAATATCTCACATCGCTTGTGTACAGGGTTCATGTGCTGTTTACATGCACGTAATCTATCTTCACCTATCGGTTTAAGTTTTTAGGTTGAACATTTTAAAAAAATCCGTGATGGAGTTGAAAACGCATAATGCATGGAAAATAAATCTGAGTATAAACGTATAATTCAATAAGGGCAGATAACTCCATAGCATCCATTCTTCTGATTTATATTTTGACTGCTTGAGCTGTCCTCGACATTCTTCGATTGCATGAAACCCATTCATCGGCTCACTTGCGTCTAAAGCATCGATAAGTTCCTTAATTTTCTAAAGACATCCTAAATTTGATTGCTAGCTAGTATTTATGGACGAACGATAAAGGTTAACCTTGATATTGAGTTCTCACATATGCAATATCTCAAATAACTATAAAGATATAAACATCTCAACTAATTTTGTAAAGTAAATAAAAGTCATGTCTAACTGGATTGTGATAAAACATTAAAAGCTTGTGTAACAAAAAGGAAAACAAGAAAATATATAGGCCATTGTCAATACAAAGAATATTTCTATAAACTCAATGTTCTATGGGTAACATGAATAATTAGAGATAGTTATGTAATCGAATTCATCTAAGTGACACATGCGTAAAAAAAAAAAGTTTTTACACTGGCAATGGACGTAATAATAAAACGAAAATTACATATTCGAGAAATCAAGAGGCTGAGGCTGGTCCACTTTAACTTTGGTGTAGCTCGGCCCAGCCCAAGATTCTGCAAGTAGGAGGCCACGAGGCCTTATATAAAGTCAAAGATTTGTTAGTTGAGTGACTGAATGCCTTGCCTAGACTCTCTTTTAGGTCCCTTCTCTATCTTTCTTTGTCGATTATTTTCCTTAATTCTGGTTATGAAGTCACATATTCATTATAGGCTAGAAAAATAGTGGGGAATGAAAAATTGGAGAGGTGATTGGAATTTTCCCAAATTGAGATTTCGGGACATTTTGAATGCCAAGCCAATAGGAAATTCACTTTACTCCGTCTATTTTCTAACTTCAACTACTTGAACTTAGCTAGCACCGCGGCTTGATTCATGTCAACCAACTTCATCAAATAGCATGGTCCCTACTCAGAATCTAATTCAAGTACCATATACTTACTCAAATAGCCTAGAGTGTAAATTGGGGCTTTTAGTTAGTGACTTGACAATGTGTGTGCACGCGCGCGAGATAGAGTGAGTGATAGATGTTATCTAATGTTAGTTCCTCACCCTTGACTAATCCTAGCCCCCTAGAAAATGGATTCTTGAAACTCTTATTCAACATTTTCACTCATGTCTGGCCAAAAAATAACAAAAAAACAAAAAGAGAGAAACAAAACCTCATCGGTTGTCAGTGGTTGCATCTTTTATTGTGTCTACTTGTAAAGCCCAGAACATTCAGAACCCAGTCATTGGTTGTTGGGTTACCTTAGATTGGGCTGGGAAGTCCTGTAAAGCTCAAACTATTCATAGCCCACATATTCTGCCTTGACTGCGGAAAGTTGATGAAATTATTCCTTCTTTTTTTTCCTAATCCAAAGACATGAGTGCAAAATGTGTACTGTCTAAAGGCCCATAGAGCATTCTGCAAGCTCATGAATCGGCGCCAGTTTGGCTATGCAGGTGGTCCTGATCCAAAATAGTCGCACGCAATCGGTAGGATTTAAACAAGTAATCTACAGTTTTTCGAGTTGGATATTCCCGACGCCTCAAACCACTGCCCCTAATACTTGAGGTCCGTTTTCTATTCGGCTTTTTAGGAAAGTTGAACTTTCAAATATTTTCAGTATTCGGTCATCAGGAGTTCACTTCTGTTACTATGAAATTTCGATATCCCCCCTCTTTTTCTTCGGCACGACAGACGTCGAAAACAACACATACCTATTCCTATTCCTATAACTTCATCTATGTTCACCCAATTTTTTTCTTTATGAGAGGGTAAAAGCCCTTGATGGAATCAAGTGCTTCCGCTCCACTTTTCACTTCCTAGGGATTCTCCCTCCCCCGTCTTTCTTACCTGAGATGAAGACATTGAATTAGAATCATCACCTCTGGGCCCATAGATGGGCCAAATTCCAGTGGGCCCCAGGCCCAATCAATCATTCCCCCAGGGACGACCCACCATTTTGTCATCAACCCTGGGACCAAAACTTCCTTTACTGTCATTTCTCTCACCTAACCACTCACCTCCAATGGCGATGGTCCCCTCCAAAAGACTTGTTTCTTTCCTCGTCCATGCCGAGTAGGCAGCACTTATTGTCGCCTCAACCGATGTGGACGTCTCCAATTCACACATAGCATCCACGCCCTCACCCTCCCTTCGCCCATCGCCATGTCCGTCGAAGAGACGAAGGAAAGAAAAGGAAAGAAAAGAAAAGGAAATATCCGTGCCTTAGGTCGAAGCACATCAGTTAATGTCCATGGGAATTGTGGGTTAACACAGCCTTGCCCATCTACCAAAACAACAATGAAATTCG